GTGGACAAAGTTTATGAAAATTGAGTTTTTTTTTTTTTTTCAGTTAGGCAAAAATTAAAGTATATTTATGATAATTTTTCGAATTTCAAACCCTAAAACTAATGTATCTTATAACGGTTTATTTTCAAAATTTTTAAATAAATTTACTTAATTTGAACTATTTTTAAAAATTTTCAAATAAATTTACTTAATTTGAACTATTTTTAAAATGTAAAATTTTATAATTAAAAATAACAATAAATTATCAAATTATCCATAAGTTTTTGAAGATACGCAAGGTTGGTTGCGGGCCCACCACGCGCATAACAAAATATTTTCCTGATAACAACGGACAAAACCATCAATCTCACACTTGCACGCGCGTCTGCAATCTCTTTCTCTAAAATCTCTCTATTTTCTATCTTTAATAATAAAGTTTGAAAATGAAACCTGTCCGAGATAAAAGCTTGCCAGAAGCTTCGCGGATTCTTCCTCTTTTAGTTTTGGGCCCCGCCGCACCAATCTTACGACTCTATTCAATTCCGGTTGTACCCTGCACTGATTTAAAAAATGAAGAAAAATTCAATAAAAGAAAAAAAGTTTATATAAGGTTGCAACCATATAATGTAGAGCTACGAATGCACTTAAAAAATCCATAAAAAAATGTAGTTCTAATATCGAGATGTATGACCATGAAAAATAAAAAAAAATCAAGTCTAAAAAATATTACATTTTACATTATATTATCTACACCGTACATTTTTAAGATTTTCATATGTTTATAGATCAACTTGATTTTAACCATTTTTTAAATTTCAAATTTTATAATTAGATATAAAAATAGATTTTGAGATAATCCTGAGAATATTTTACATTAAAATTATATACCATGATAAAATTTGAAGGCGCACCTTACCTCTTCAGCTACGGATGCATCTGTATGCCAACTGCACTCTACTTAAAAATATAAAATGTATTAAAAAATATTAAACTTTGATTGAACAAAAAAAACTGGCTGGTTTGACTAGCCAAAACCAGTTAAATTTTGGTTTTGACTGCTTTCGACTAAATCTAAATTTTATCTTAGGCTAGACTGATCAAAGTATCAATCAACTGTCCGACCAGTCGGACCATGTCCTATGACTTGATAATTATGAACTAATCACACGTCTCAGCGAAAAATATTATCAACTGCGAAATAAACTTTGCACATACATGGTGTTCATGTATTGTTTTTCTTAAGGATTAGGTTTATATATGGCATCAAGTTAACCTATTGCGGTGGTTATAAAAGCAAGGCACCTGTTAAAAATCCACTAAAAGAGGTTTGTTCGTTATCGAAAGCCCTTCAATTAATTATCTCAACCTCAAGATGTATGGATATGATAGAAATACCACTTCAAATCTCATAAATAGTACATATTGTAATACATAATTTAGATTATCTATTTTCAATATTTTCAAATGCTTATAGATTTACTTGAATTGCATCATCTTTGGAGCTTAAATTCCATAATTAGGGAGAAAATAGACTTTTAGGCCACCATAGGGAGTTTTCGGGCACCGGAACTGCATCTTTCAATATGGTTTGGAGGTACGCCTTACTTTGATTATTTAAGATTGATGATTTATATAAAGATGCGGTTTATATAGAGCTTAGGCTCTAAACAGTCAAATTAGAGCCTACCTTCAAATAATGTCAAGAAATATAATTTTAATAGTAAAAATCTTTGTGATAGCCTTACAATATATTTTCATCTTTATTTATAAGTTTAAAGCTTAAAAAATAGTTTAGATCGAAAGATCTATGAAAATTTGAATCTTGAAAATTGACGGTCTAAAAATGCATTACAAATTACACTATTTCCAAACTTGAAATCCATTTTTTTCTCATGTCCATGCATTCTGTTGTTGAGACGATCAAATATTTGAGCATCAAAACAACCTCTTCTAGTGAAATTTTTGAGGTAAGCTCTAATTTGATTGTTTAGAGCCTCGGCTCAACATAAAATTTTCCGTTTATATAAAGTACACCCTTTTTAAAAATTGATGTTCCTATCTTATAACATAATATGCTCTTCTTTGAGCATATTGTTCATTCACTCCCTGGGGTAAACTCCAATCTAGGAGTATTTTTAGGATTCCACCTTTTGGGGATGCATCGCCTCACCCTAGCAACCAATTTCAAAAAATAAAAAATAAATAAATTAAAGAAGAAGAACAGAGGAAGAAGAAAATCACATCCACTTTATACGTGCCTGAAGAAAAATTATTGTAAGACTAGGCACAAAATTTCATTGTTTTTTTTTTTTGTCAAAAATCATAAAAATAAAAAATAAATAAATTAAAGAAGAAGAACAGAGGAAGAAGAAAATCACATCCACTTTATACGTGCCTGAAGAAAAAATTATTGTAAGACTAGGCACAAAAATTTCATTGTTTTTTTTTTTTTTGTCAAAAATCATAATGTTTAGGACCTGAAGCTTCTTTCTTATTTTTTTATTTATTTTTTATTATTATTTAAATACCCACTTGGTGAATCTTAATCTAAAGTGGATCCTGATGTTTGATCTAAGCTAAAAAGTTCTATTGCGTAGGGAGTGAGTATACAATGTGCCCCACAATAGAATTGCCATATGTGCTCAATAGTCAAAGGATAAGATTTCGCCCTACCTTGTCTGTCTAGGAGTTTTTAAACCTAGATTGATGTCACTTTTGGGAAATTAAGCAATATAAATGGAAGAAAATAGAGACTGATGATGGTGCATGAAAATTAAACAGAACAAATGGAGGAAACTAGAGACTGATGATGATGCATGAAAATAAAACAGAACAAAAAGTTGGGCAACTTCTTCTGGTTTTAAGAAGGTGAGGACAAAATGCCTCCTAAATAATGAAGGAAAATGGTTTGATAGGGCTGCAGCCCTACCAAAATAAGTAAACACTCACCTCATAAATCATTGAAAATTGCAATTTTAATATTAGAAAAGCTTTACCTCGATTATTTCGGCTTGAACATTATGGCTCTTAAAAAAAAAAGATTTCAAGCTTTAAAAATGGTGTATATTGAAACAAATTATCTAGACCATCTATTTCGCTATAAAAATAAGTGTTCAGAGTTCCACAAGCTCTATATCATTTTTTGAGTTTCAAATTTTTTTATCGGTGTTGAAAATTGATTGTGGAGATATCATAGACATTTTCGTTGCTAAAAGTTCTTTTTGGGCAAGAATTTGAGGTGAAGCTTTATTTTGTTTTCATGAAGCCTGGGCCTTATAAAAACTTCATCCAATAATAAATGCGTAAAGACATACATACATTAAATAAGCAAAATGACTTTATTGGAAGATGAGGAAGAGAGACATGAATCTTTCGTAGTAGAGGAGTCAGGTCAAAACAAAATGTGATGATCTTTTGACCCTCTGTCACAGCAATTTTGCCCCTTAAGTTAGTGTTTAAAAAATTGCCGATTCGACTTGAAAACTTGCCTGAATCTTTAAGTTTGGTTAAAATGTTGGGATAGCTGAGAAATTTATTTTATTTTTAAATTATATTATAAAAAATTATCCTAGTTGGCTTGAAGAATCGGATAGAGGGACTTTGGCTCAAGACCTTGTATGCAACACTCTATCCAAGTTCGATTTTTTCAAACTTTGTTTTTGTGTAATTCAATAGAAAAGACAGGTCTCTACCTGTTTTTTTAAATAAATCAAAGAGTTAACATTTTGAAAGTGTTAGTAAACCGTATCAGCAGGATTGAAAATCACAATATGATAATTAAGTATGGAGGTGCATGTATTTTGAAAGGACTAGTTGGTAGGGTCATGTATATCAAGGTCTAGAGCAGCTAGTAATACAAACAATAGAAATTATTGCAATTTTTGCACAGTCAATGTACATTTGTTGTGAGGTCTTTTTGCCTTTTTGGAACTATGGTGGGCTTTCTAGAGATTCTAAAACGTAATCATAATTCAAGGATGAGATAGAGTGGATTTGGAGAAATTGTAAAGAAGAGGAATCATAAAGGAAAATGTTTTGATACCCTATTATAAAACTTCACCTCAAAATTCATTGAAACTTGTAGTTTTGGCGTTAAAAAACCTTCAACTCAATTATCTCAGCCTTGACCAGTATGGTTGTGAAAAAATTTACGATTTTAAAACCTAAAATTAGTGTATATTATAACACCTTATCTAGAGCACCCCTTTCTTACTAAAAATAAGTGTTAACGGATCCACAAGATTTATCTCTTTTTTTAGCTTCAAATTTTATATTCGATTTTGAAAATTGATTTTAGACCAATAATGGAGATTTCTAATACCCAGAATACATTTTAGATGAGAATTCTAGATAAGGCTTTACTTTATTTTGATACAACTTGGCCATACCGACCGACTGCATCAAATTATAAAGGACAAGGTTTTATAAAGCTTAGGTTTTATAAAAATAAAATAAACCCTCACCTCAAATCTTCTTCCGGAAAGCAATTTCGACAACATAAATCTTCATAATGGCTCTAGAATCAATTTCGAACACCAACAACAAAATTCAAAACTTTAAAAGTATGAGAGATCTTGTGGATCTATGAATACTTATATAGGCGAATGGATAATCTATATAATGTTTTATAATATACACTAGTTTTAGAGTTTGAAATTTTTTTTTTTCATAAACATAATATTTAAGCCAAAATAATTGATTTAAATATTTTTGAATTCTTGAATTGTGCGTTACGAGGTGAAGCTTTACTTGTTTTGATGGAGCTGCCGCAACAAATTATAAATCAGTTATATCCCCGAAATTTGAAGCCCGCGAAAGTCCGCGATTTGGTTATACATGACGCCTTAAATAGACATTATGATACCGCGGGAGCACAGAGTTCTCACACTCTCGTCATATCATTTTCACCCGCCATTGGCGATCCCGTTCATTTCTAGTATTTCTCATTACCTTCTCCAAATGCCAAAATAGAGGGCGTTTTAGTAATTTGTCCAAACCGTAAAACGTGGGGACTGGTACATGAACTCACCTTTCCCTATCCAAATACCGATTCCATTTCCTCCAATTTTTATGAGTTTTATCTTTTCTTCTCTCTCTTCTCTCTGATGCCAACCTTCAACAGTACGTTACCAGGGTTTCATGGGAAAATCCTTACCCTAAGCTTAACCCTAACCCTAAATTCCCCTTCTCTCCATCTCTGGCTTTACAGATTCCGTCGCCTAAGGACTCCTTTTTTCTGAAAGTTCAGACGCCATGACTGGTTCTTCAGTTTCCCGGCCAGCTTCTGGCCAAGGCCAGAGGAAATCGGCCTCCTTTCATGGCCGAATTCCGGAGAGTTCAGAGGCCTTTCCGGCTATTCCCAGGCCGGAATCTCACCCTGACTTGGCAGGTCGCCGGAAATTGATATCTGGAAAGCACCAACACCTAATTCCTAACTCGCAGGACAATGTTTCCGGCAGGCTAACCAAGCTGCTCCTGAATGTTACAGTGCAGAGGAGTCTTGGCCATGTTCATGTTGTTATGTCGCCTGAAAATACAGTGGACGATCTCATAAAGGCCGCCATTAATGCTTATGTTAAAGAAGGGAGGAGGCCTCTTTTGAGCCAGGTCGATCCAAGCTGTTACGAGCTCCATTATTCTCAGTTTAGCCTCGAGAGTAAGCTTCCTAAACCCTAATCTTCCTTAGCTTTTTACATTGAAGTATTGAACTTTATAGAAAAAAAGGAAATATATACAGAAAGAAAGCTTTCTAAACCCTAGTTCCCTTGGTTGTTTTTGCAGTGATAATTAAGAAAAAGATACAATAATGATAAAGAAAGGTTTCTCAGTCCTGATGTTCCTTAGATTTTACAGTGATCTTTATATAGAAAAATTTACGACTTACGAGAGATACAGATGATCGTTGAATTAGAGAGAGACGATCCTTTGTTTTTTCCAGTGATTTGGAGTTAGTGATGATCCTTTTTTTTTTTTTTCCGCGATGGGAATTAGTTTCTCTTGATTTTGGTTGTTTTCCTGTTGATTATCGTTGAATTAGAGAGAGATGATCGTTTCTTTTTTCCAGTGATTTGGAGTTGGTGATGATCGGTTTTTTTGCCATTTTCCAGCGATTTGGAGTTAACTTTCTGTTGATTTGGTTGTTTTCCTGTGATTTTGATTCATTAGTTTTTGGGATTAAGGTTAACGATATATAGATTCATATGAAAGGACGCTTACTCTTGAGGCCTAAATTTAAGGGCTCTCAACCTAAAAATCTAAGCCGTTTACTGTTGTATTTAACAGCTGCGGTAGTTTTGGGGGCTCAGAAGGACAACTTTTCAGAAAAATGGCGAACATGCAAACCAATTCCTGACATCTGAAATCATATAGTCCTATAAATAGTGAATGCTTCTTTGGATTTTCTATACTTAATTTAATTGAATATGGCTGTTTTTCCTGACATCTGAAATTATACAGTCATACATCCTATAAATAGTGAATGCTTCTTTGGATTTTTATACTTAATTTAATTGAATATTACTGTTTCTAAAATTTGTATTTAAATTCAGATGTCAGGTTATTTTCTGGTATATCTTGCCGCATTTATATGACTTTTTGGAATCTTTGGCAATACGAAGCGTTTTCGGCTTTTTTTTTGGGCCAATTATCAGAAATATATATTTTCCAATATATATTTTCCAATTAAAAAAAAAAGGTGCGGTTTGCATAAGGTTGCATCAAGGTACCACCTAACTTTATCACGAGTCTCAATGGTACAAGAATCTATTTTTATCTTTTATTATAAAATTTTAAACTCTAAAACTAACCATTTAAACGATTTGAAATCTCTTTTTGCCTATATATATATATATATATATATATATATATATATGTATATAC